TATACATTGAAAAGTGCCTACAAAGTAAGCACACAAGACAGCATTTAGGATAAATAATTTAATGCTAATAATACATCAATACATGTACACTCTCACAAAAGTGAAAGAACCAAAAATTGCCATGTCCTCTCTTTCTAAAAAAAAAACAAAAAACAGAAAAAAAACATCAACAGTCCTTTAAATATTGCTTAACTAATCTAAAATTCCCTTTGACAACAATAGCAGATGCCTGAGAGTGGAAACCCTTAAAGTCGTCTGCACACGCTCATCGCAAATGCGCGCACACATTTTAAGTAAACTATAGAGGGGGGTCCTACATTCATATCATGCACCCCCTTTTTAAAAACAACATTACACCACACTGTGAGAAATGCTTTAACAGTCCAAATGAGAGAAGTAGTGACCCAAACACTCTTTTGGTTTTGATAATTCATACTTATTATCAGTTTTATAGTGTTTGGAAGTTCAGTGGTTTATCGGTGGTAGCAAATTGTCTGCGTGTTAAATAAACAGTCTGTGTGCATTAGTAAGAAGCGTATGATGAATTCTGTACAAGTTGTTTTAACAATTGCGTACTGTATTGTGACAGTCAAAGCTGCGGTCCACCTCCAGTCTTGGCTCACTCCATCTAATTTTTTGTGGGTTTTAAAACTGGGCCGCACCACTAGACTTTTATTTGGTGTAGAAAATTGCAGTGGACAATGGCTGAATATCCTTTTAAGGGATCTGTGGCAAGGCAATGGATTTTGAGTGCAGGCAGAGCCTGAGTGTAACATAATCCATTAGCAAAGGATTCTGGGAAAGATAACCCCATGCACACAACAGCAAAGCACTTAAATCTAGATGTCTGTTGGTGTTCTGTAACAAAAAACAGCAGTCTAGGCACTCCTAATGGAACAGACTGAAGGAAAGATCTGGGTATGAAGAAAGCTGAGGCTTGTTTGAGAACATTCACGAACACCACACCATTATAACGACAGATCAAACGTGAAAGCCGTCCGAATGGAGAAATGTAGCAGAGAGCAGAATGAACAAGTGTTGGTGGGAAATCAAAGGATTTCTCTCAAACAGGAATAGTTATCACTGTCTCACATTGTATTTACATCTCCGTGTAAACTGTCCATGTCCCGAAACTGTCTTTTTTATCTTGTATGATGCTTTATAAATAAAAAAGACATTTATTACATACACTACATGTTGTCATCTATGTCAAATATGGCTGTCATTATTGAGTATAAAAACATTAGCAAATACAGAGTGATGTGAAAAACTGTTCACTAGTACGGAGTTTAACTCCTGATATGATAATATAACCAGTTTGTGAGAAGAGAAGAGAACAGAAGAGAAGAGAAGAGAAAGAGACAAGAATGAGACAAAAAGAGAACAGACAAGAATGAGATGAGAAGATAATAGAAGAGACAAGAATGAGAATAGAAGAGACTAGAATGAGGTGAGAATTAGATGAGAAGAGAATAGAAGACAAGTATGAGAAGAGAAGAGACAATAATGAGACGAGAAGACACAAGAAGGAGACAAGAAAAGAAGAGACCAGAATGAGAAGAAGAGATGAGAATGAGGTGAGAATTAGGTAAGTAGATAATAGAAGAGACAAGTATGAGATGAGAAGAGACAATAATGAGACGAGAAGACAAAAGGAGACAAGAAAAGAAGAGACAAGAATGAGACGAGAAGACAAAAGAAGGAGACAAGAAAAGAAGAGACAAGAATGAGACAAAAAGAGAAGAGACAATAATGAGAAGTAGAGATGAGAATGAGGTGAGAATTAGGTGAGCAGATAATAGAAGAGACAAGTATGAGACGAGAAGACAAAAGGAGACAAAAAAAGAAGAGACAATAATGAGACGAGAAGACAAAAGGAGACAAGAAAAGAAGAGACAAGAATGAGACGAGAATGAGACAAAAAGAGAAGAGACAAGAATAAGAATAGATGAGAATGAGGTGAGGTGAGAATTAGGTGAGCAGATAATAGAAGAGACAAGTATGAGACGAGAAGAGACAATAATGAGACGATAAGAGACAATAATGAGACGAGAAGAGACAAGAAGTGAAGAAAGAGGTGAGATGAAAACATGAGAAGGAAAGCAGAGACTAAACATATTAATGAGAGAAAAGAAGAGATGAGGAGAGACTAGAATGTGATAGAAGAATAAGAGAAAAAGAGAGAAAAAACAAAAAAAACAAAAGCGAGGATATGAGACAAAATGGGCAGAGACTAAAAGGTGACAGGAAAATAGAGTAGATTAGAGAGGCAGACATGAGATGGAGAAAAGAGAAGACTAAAATAGATGAGATGAAAGGATAGAATAGAAATGAGCAGAGAGGAGATGAAATCAGATGAGAAAAAGAGCCAGGGCAACATGTGAAGCGATTGAGACAGTGGCGAGACACTCTCCATCACTATCAGCAGATCTTCCACATTCAGTTTTTCAGCTGCTCCTTCAGAAGCACCATGAGCACGCGGCTCTAAACAGGATCTCATCCATTCATCACAAAGACACCTGGGAAGAGCAATTGCCTTGCAAGGCCTTGTTCCATTCGTCAGAGGACAAAATGTTATGATACACCAGTGCAGATGGGCAATGCTGGCAGAACCAACAGTGACGGGATGGTGACCATACATGGACTAAGTGGAAACAAAGAGTCCAACCTGAACATGTGTGCTTTTGAAGTGAAGTCTTTGGGGAAAGTGTACATAATGTGGAATTTTGAACACCAAATGTGTGTGTGTGTGTGTGTGTGTAAAGGGCACACTAAGAGCTGGCTGGTTTGGTGTAATCATCCACTCCAGTGATAGTGGCCTTGCAGAAGAAGCAGTCCTTGTTATTCATTAAGTGCTGATTGATACAGGCCCTGAAATAAAAGACAAAGTGAGTGAGGGAGCGAGAGATCTGTCCGTCAGTGACATTTAATCACTTAAAGAGTGCTGAGTCACGTCAAAGCGTGAGTTATCTGTGCTGCGCTTCACGATATACGTCAAGCGACTCAAAAACAAACTGCCAAGAAAATTGTTTTTATTGAGAGCACAGTTTTTATGTATACAAATAGTATTGTGACAACTTCAATGCTGTGATGAGACCACAAAATTACCAGTGGACAGTACTGGGTAGTAACTGGTTAAACGTAATCTGGATTACGTATTTAGATTCTAAAAGTTACCCAGCAGGCACACAACGCCATACAGCTTTAATATTTGGTTAAATTTCAGTTGCGATGTCGGATGACCAAAATTCAATGTCAATACAACATCTAATGTCAATGTTAATTTGATGTCCAATAGACCAATTATAGGTTTGTAAACATTCAGGATGCATCTTGGTTGCAGAAAACCTGGGAGAGATAGCCTTTACAGCAAGAGAATTTCACAGATACGGTACAAAATAGTTAGGTTTAAAAAGATTATAAATTATATTGATTAGATGTCATTTTCAAAATGTTCTCCGCATATTACAAGAGCTTGTCACCCAGCGATAAGCACTGTTATTCAACGAAATTGACGTTAGAGAGTGGGACAGTCTTACAGATCCGAAACAGGGATGACGTTTTTTGTGGGCGGAGCCTATCTGGAGGCAGACAATTATGGTTTTCAAGCGGCAGTCTATGGAGCCATGGAATAAAAGAATAAAAAAAGGTAAATTTGATATTATATTTCAAAATTCTGACTTTATTCTCGCAATTCCGAGATTATATCTCACAATTCTAATAAGGAAAAACAACTCGTCATTCTCTCTTTTCCCCTCGGCTCTTCTGGCTTTTTTCCCTCAGATTTGACAAACTCACTATTTTTGAGTTAAGTCGAGTTATAAAGTCCGAATTAGGAGATATAAACTTGCATTTGCGAGAAAAAAAAGTCAGAATTGTGAGATAAAATAAATAAATGTTATGTAAAAATGTTAATAGTAAGGTTTAAATAATATTTCATGCTGTAACTGTAGGGCTAATACAATACGTCCCCTATGAACAGCATATGTGAATATTATGTAGATCTATTGTTTAAATCAAATTTATGCTTTAAAAGTAGAGTAATCATAGCAGTTTTCATCCATAGTATGTCCATTTAAACGTCTGCGTTTAGCTTCAAATGGCGTCTTTGACGACAGTATTCTATAAAAATTATTCTGATTTTGACATCAAAAGGCACAAAAATATTAGTTTCTTTTATTCTATGGATTTTACCCATTTACCTCCACTTGTTCCCAGTGTTTTCCAGTTCCCAGAGTTTTTTCCGCAGCTGCAAGTGACGTAACTGTGACGTCTACTCTGAATTGGTCTATACCGACGTCAGCTGGTTGTGTAACCAAAATCCAACGTTAAATTAACGTCAAATACTGACATCAACCCGATTTTCATTCTCAACCAAAATACAATGTCTGTCCGATGTCATGTCCAATGTCAACATGATATTATGTTGACGTCCTGTGCCTGCTGGCTTTAGTACTTGTAGTTAGATTATATTACATTTTAAAGTGCAAACTTGCATTTGCGAGAAAAAAAAGTCAGAATTGTGAGATAAAATAAATAAATGTTATGTAAAAATGTTAATAGTAAGGTTTAAATAATATTTCATGCTGTAACTGTAGGGCTAATACAATACGTCCCCTATGAACAGCATATGTGAATATTATGTAGATCTATTGTTTAAATCAAATTTATGCTTTAAAAGTAGAGTAATCATAGCAGTTTTCATCCATAGTATGTCCATTTAAATGTCTGCGTTTAGCTTCAAATGACATTTTTGACGACAGTATTCTATAAAAATTATTCAGATTTTGACATCAAAAGGCACAAAAATATTAGTTTATTTTATTCTATGGATTTTACCCATTTACCTCCACTTGTTCCCAGTGTTTTCCAGTTCCCAGTGTTTTTTCCGCAGCTGCAAGTGACGTAACGGTGACGTCTACTCTGAATTGGTCTATACCGACGTCAGCTGGTTGTGTAACCAAAATCCAACGTTAAATTAACGTCAAATACTGACATCAACCCGATTTTCATTCTCAACCAAAATACAATGTCTGTCCGATGTCATGTCCAATGTCAACATGATATTATGTTGACGTCCTGTGCCTGCTGGCTTTAGTACTTGTAGTTAGATTATATTACATTTTAAAGTGCTCATAATCAGATTACACTTTTTATGGATTACATGATTACATATTCTTCACACAATGGCAGTAAATTATTCATCTTTATTTTAATAAAACTACTGCTTACATTTGGAAAGTCTTACAGATTTATGAAAGTGCAGACACCAGTCGGAAAATGGAGTGCCCACACAATCTTTTTAGTTCTCTGATGTTTGTTAATTAAAATATTTATATTTTTATTGTTCTCATGATTATTTCGATTGTTTACATTTTAAAGGGGGTTGATTAGTTTTGATTAGTTTAATTTGACATTTTTATGATTTAATGAATTGGTTTTTGTGAATTTTTTAATTAATTAGTCATTTGTGAAACATAACGTAATGCTACATGTTATGCCAAATGTAATCTAAAAGTAATCCAAAAGTAGTCAGAATAAATTACTCAATGTTTGTAATCTAATAGATTACATTACAAACTAAAATTTCCATCATGCAATTTGTAATCAGTAATGGACTGCAATTTTTAAGTAATCTACCCAGCACTGCCAGTGGAATTACTGTATCGCAACAGTGGAAACATGTCCTTAGTATTTCAGGCAGTGTTCATGCTCTATATAAGTAATGGTCATTGAGGCCTTTAACGGCGTGGTGTTAATCTCTTAAATGGAAGAGTGAATGGAAGAATGGAGCTGTTGATAGGATGTTGGCAGCAACTCACTTGCAGGATTTGTGGGAGCAGGGCTTGAAGATGGCTGATATGGAGTGTGCATAGCAGATCGGGCAGAGATCGTCCTCGCTGGTCGGCTGTAAAAGAAAAAGACTGATTTAATAATTTAAGAAGCAGATACATTGTGTGAAAGATGTTCCAGAAAGAAAGTGTTGTCAAAGACCTTGTTTTTCATTCTCCACAATGTCATCATATTCAGCAAACCAACTATATATTAGAGAGACAGTATTTAGGATATTAAGGACTGTTTGAACCTTTTTTGTTGTTGTTTCATTAAATAAATTTGCATAGTGCGTGCATAAATAAAATTGCATAATTTTACAACGAATTCCTGATTTATTTATTTATTTTATTGTTTTCAATAAATGAGTGCATAATATCTGATGTATTCTGCTAAATTTTAAGTGATAGTTTGGACAAGTTCACACCATGGAACTTTTTGTCCCTTTTTCATAGTCCTTTTCAATTAATTTATTAAATGACTCATTTTTATCATTATGTACAAACTAAGCAATACAATGCACACTGTTCTTATCCTAATTAATTTCAAGTCAGTGAGCCTAACAGCCAAACACTTCTTAGTGAAATATTGGGATATCTGGTCCCCCTAATGTCAAAAAGTGCCTACTTATGGTATTTTTGAAGTATGCATCACTGGAATCATTGAGAAATTATTATGCTACAGAAGACCTCATTTTAGTTCCTAATAAATACTCAAAGAAACAGATTTTCACCTGCACAGCATGCAATTTTTGTAATTAGCAGCAAGCGAACAAAGCTTGACCCCTGACCCCTTGAAACAGGCTGATGGAGCTTCATTAGTATACAAGCATCTTATTAATATGTAAACCTTATTATTACACAGTCAAGTCAGGAGAGAGTACTGCACATTAAAGGAATAGTTCACACAGATATGTAAATTCTGTCATATCCTCTTCAAAACCCATGATTGTTTTGTTAGTTTTTTGCCACAAAAAAAAAGACATTACGTTTTTTTATTTGTACATTTTACTTTGTAATTAGAAAAAATGTAATTAGACATTGTAATTGAAATTTTGACATACATGCATATTAAACATACATGCATATTAAAAATTCAAAAACCAACTTCACAGATATAACAAATGAATGAAGTGAAACTGATAACTTTGATATATAACGTGATATAGGTTAGGTCGGCAAATAGATTCTATTTTTATTCTCTATTCATATGCTATTTACTTATTCATATGTAGAACACTGCGCACCTGCACATTAAAGCCGTTACATATTCAACATATATGACATTTCAAAAAAAGCTGCAAAGAACTTTCTGCACGCATCCCAAGGGGACGACACACAAGATAATACATTCAGCACAGGGAGAACAGTCCTCAAACTGTCAACACACTAGAACACATATGTACAAAGACGTCAGAAGATGCATATTCACTTTTGGTGACCCCGACGTGCTCACTTTTGTATATAACATTGAGCAATAGAAGATTCAATTGATAATTAAATAGATGATTTAAAACAGAAATCAAATCTGAATCCATGAAATTATATTTCTTAAACAACCAATATTTTTGAAGCAATTAATTAAAGCAATTAAACAAACAGATTTGTATCTAACCCAAATATCTACAGTTCCTTCTGTCAGTTGGTCTTGTGATTTCCAAGAGACCGAATTCCTAAAGCAGCCACAGCAAACGCTAATGAATATTCTCCTTCCATCCTTCAGTCGGAGTCACACGAGACTCCCGTAATATCCACGCTTTCATCCCAAGGCTTTCCTCAGCTGGGAAGGGAGGGAACATGGCTGCAAGTGTTAATTGAGTTATTTGTACTGATTTCATGGGGAGTGTGGATGAAAGCCTTCTGTGATAGAAGAGCAGCCAGGCCTCCATCCCTGGCAACCAGAGCATGTGAGCGAAGCGGAGCGGTATGACGCTCCGCTACGTTTTCCGCTCTATGGACGTGCACTCCGCTCAGTCGCTCTAACAGCACAAGCAAGCGCTCCGTTAATATTCCGCTCACGCTCACCGTGAACCAATTCCCGGTCAGATCCCGCTCCGACATAAAATTTCTCTAGTAAGCCTAATTGTTTACTGTTTGTAACGAAATTCTTGGATTATTGTCTAAAATTAAGCATGCTGATAAATAGCAATTATCATGTTTCAGAGCGAAATTCTTACATTCTTCTTAATTTTATTAATTGTAATGTATTAATTAAAATGTATTAATTATATGAATCTAACCTTAGCAAACCTACCTAAAATGCAAAAACTGAAAAAGTGTATTTGATTTTCGTTAACTTTATTTAAAATAGCTGCAGTTGTTGTGCAATAGAACATTCAAAACAGGCTCATTAAAACACAAACGCACACACACACACGAGATGAAATGTGTGTAGATCTTTACAAAATACACCTGGATCATAAAGCCTGTGAAAAGCACACGCAAGATAAAATGCACTTAAAGAACGCTTGGTTTACGAACTGACGTCAATGAAAGAAACACACTTTCTAGTGTCAAGTTAAAATAAACCATAACTGCGGGGAACTGTGGTCTATTAAAACGTCTCTTGATGTTTACTGGATTTTAGAATTTACTTTAAGAAACATTAGCTTGGACAAAGTGTCAGGCTTCAGCATTCGTTGTGCCCGAAAACACTCGCTCAGCGCTGGAAGAAGCACTGGGGATGCTGGAGATTTTGCGGGAGGGATCCAGCACTGGTTTTCCAAAATCCAAGTGGTGTAGGCTAATATCTTCTGTACTCTGTAGTTCTGTATTTAGACCTATATACAGCTGTGTGTTAGTTTAGGTCTACAGTTTAACCTAGGGAATGAACGAATTAACGAACGAATGAATTCGTGGCAGCTAAGCCTAAACAAGAGAACAAATACTTAATTTGTGGCCATAATTTAGACTAAACGAAAAAATTAATTCTTAATTGGTGGCCATAATGTAGTCCTAGCATAAAAGAGAACTAGCCTATTCTAAATTCGTTGGCCGTGATTAATTGTCTGCATGTCATGATCGGGGCTCCGTACAACCGAATATAACCTTAGCCTACCTGTTTATTCATTTATTATGCTATGTACTATAGCTCACCTTTTGCGGCACCATGTTTGCGTAGCACATCCTTGTGCTTTCTGGCAATGTGCCGCTTCAGATTCCAATATGAATCTTTACTAACTCTCCCTGCAATCTAACTCTCCTCTCAGTTTCTTCTCCCTGCTCATTCGTAACTTAGATTTTTTACTTTACATTTATGTATAAGGCTTGCAACTTCATTGAAACAATATCTGAACTCCATAACTGCTCTACTATTCTCGATCTCTATAGATTCTCGATCTCGAACAAGCAAATCACCAAACGGCATTCTGGGTTGAGCGAGCGGCACAGAGCGTTTTGAGCGAGCAGAGCGGAATCTTCAGAAAGGCGCTCTGCGCTCTGAAGGAAATATTACCACTCCGCTCCCCCTCCGCTCCGCTCACATGCTCTGCTGGCAACCAGCCTCACTCCATACACCGCAGAATATGACAACCTCACATTTTCATGCTAATGCATTTTTCTTATTCGCCCAAATCTTAATAACAGTTTCACTTTAAATTGGTGATAGACCAATATACTGGCCAGATCAATTATTAAAGCCATTATTTAACTATTTTAAATAATAATAATATTAATCATGTCAAACAACATGTCAAACGACTAAATAATCTAAATTATACATTTATTATACAAGTACTCAAACCTTCCTTCCACAAGTCTACAATGATTGCATGTTGTAGACGGACAGTCCTTGACCGACCTGTATGTAATGAAGCCAAGGGTGCAGAGGACAAGCTAAAGTTATTGAGATCCTTTTAATATGAATACTTGAACTGCTCCATCTACACTGATTAAAAACAGAATGTGAGGCAAAAAGCAGCCCTTCAATTCATTTTAAAGGCATTGCACTGACGCAAGCAATTTTGGAGAGTAAACCATCGATATATCCTCAGTTACCCAGATAGCCGGCCTATCGGTTTCTTCATCAGTTTTTCATGCGGTTCTTTGACTTGAACGAGGCCTTTTGTTTTTGTGTCGGGTCTTCCGCAATGTCCTTCCATTCTCAAAGTCAAACTTTGTTTCAAGGGGAATGATTGGGTTTCTGTTTGGTCTCTAAGCTGAGATGAAGGAAATACAAGCCCCTTAAAATCTCATTCACTCCCTCCTAAGTCTGTCTCTTCTGAGCTATTACCTTCAGATCTTGTGTCTGAGTAATGAGGGAAGATATCCACTATCCCAAGGTAATTTGCAGGGGCAGACAGTGACCTTGACTGGCCCAATTCACTCTGGTTCATGGCGGCCTGATAAAAACGCTGGGTGCTTTACTCAATTCATATGGTTGCTCTAGCCAGAGAGCGCAAACTAACAGAGAAATCAGTCAAGACTGGGACTGTGTGACTTAAAGGAATAGTTCATCCAAAAATGAAAATTGACTCACCATCAGGCCATCCAAGATGGGGATGACTTTATTTCTTCATCAGATTTGGAGAAATTACATCACTTGCTCAGCAATGGATGCTCTGCAGTGAATGGGTGCCGTCAGAATGAGAGTCCAAACAGCTGATAAAAACATCACAATAATCCACACCACACCAATCCATCAGTTAATGTCTTGTGAAGCAAAAAGCTGCATGTTTGTAAGAAACAAATCCATTGTTAAGACATTTTTAACTTCAAACCACTGCTTCCAGCTAAAATGACGAGTTTGAAGTCTCATTCTGACGGCACCCATTCACTTCAGAGGATCCATTAATGAGCAAGTCGTGTAATGCTACATTTCTCCAACAAAATATTCAGCAAATTTTCCTTTTTTGGTGAATTAGTCCTTTGAGTCCTGTTGCATTTACATTTACTCTTGCTTTCACTACTAATCCAAGAGTTTGAATTGAGGGCGAAACATTTCCCCGATGCAGATTTATCTCATGTTTAAGCTGGTCATGCAAATTTGATGCATTTTCCAACGAAAACCTGCTTGATTTGAGAGTGATTTCTGTGAGGCTAAAGTCTAAAAGAAACTGAATTCACAACCTAATTTACT